CCCGCCGTTCCCTGGCTGCACCTAAAAATTCTGTCCATAAAAATAATGAACAGAATTGGTAACGAAGGGCAGCCTTGGCGGAGTCCAACATGCACTGGAAACAGGTTTGACATACTGCTGGCAATGTGAACCAAGCTCCTACTCTGGTCATACAGGGTACGGACAGCCCGTAACAACAAGTCCCGCACCCCATAATCCCGAAGTACCTCCGACAGGATGCCATGAGGGACATGGTCAAATGCCTTCTCCAGATCCACAAAACACATGTAGACTGGTTGGGCAAACTCCCATGAACCCTCCAACAGCCTAGTGAGGGTATAGAGCTGGTCCAGTGTTCCATGGCCAGGGTGAAAACAGTACTGTTCTTCCTGAATCCGAGGTTTGACTATCGACCGAATTCTCCTCTCCAGTACCCTGGCATACACTTTCCCGGGGAGGCTGAGAAGTGTGATCCCCCTATAGTTGGAACACACTCTCCGGTCTCCCTTCTTAAAAAGGGGGACCACCACCCCAGTCTGCCAGTTCAGAGGCACTGCTGCAGCAATGCTGCAGAGGCATGTCAGCCAAGACAGCCCCACAACATCCATAGACTTGCAAAACTCGCAGCAGACATCATACACCCCTGGAGCCACCGAGGAGTTCCTTAACTACCTTGTCAACTTCAACCAGAGTAATGGACAAGTCCCCTCCCGAGTTCCCAGCCCTGGCTTCCTTTACAGAAGGCATGTCAGGGGGATTGAGGACATCTTCATTCCTAAGTGTCCATCTTCTGTACCACCTGTTTTTTATGGTCTAGATAGGCTAGAAACCTTTGTCCCAGTATCATTGCCTCAACTCGAAAAATATGTCTCACAGTTAAAATCTGCTTCTTCCCCCCGTGATCCTGTCCCTACCAGGATGGTCAATGAGGTTATTGATACTATTGGCCCCACTCGTCACATTCATCAACTCCTGCCTTGAGCTGGGCATGGTTCCGAACTCTCTCAAGCATGCAGTAGTGAGACCACTTTTAAAAAAGCCCAACCTTGATCTTTCTCTTTTGTCTAATTTCTGCCCAATTTCCCATTTACCTTTCTTATCCAAGGTCATGGAAAAGTTTGTCCTTATCCAAGTGCAGTCTCATTTGGATCGGCTCAATATTGGTGACAGATTTCAATCAGGTTTTAAGCCTCACCATAGTACAGGATCTGTGCTGCTGAAGGTCCATAATGACATTGCTTTGGCCCTTGATGCTAAACAGCTTGTCACTGTAGCTCTGATAGATCTATCAGCAGCTTTTGATACCATTGATCATACAGTTCTGCTCTTCCACTTAGAACATTACTCTGGCCTGAAAGGCCCTGCTCTTAGCTGGTTCATTTCTTTTCTGACCAGCAGGACTTTCTCTGTCACTATTGGGGAGTTTTCCTCTACTGTGGCACCCCTTACCTCAGGGGTCCCTCAAGGCTCGATTTTGGCTCTGCTACTCTTTTCTTTGTATATGTTACCACTTGGTTCAATTATATCAAGGCATAATGTGCATTTTCATTTTTATGCAGACGATGTCCAGATTCCAGGTTCCGCCCCAAGTACCTTAAGCCTCTGGATGTTGTGGGGCTGTCTTGGTTGACACGCCTCTGCAATGCCGCATGGCAGTCGGGGACAGTGCCTCTAGACTGGCAGACCGGGGTGGTGGTCCCTCTTTTCAAGAAGGCGGACCAGAGGGTGTGTTCCAACTATAGGGGGATCACACTCCTCAGCCTCCCCGGGAAAGTCTATGCCAGGGTACTGGAGAGGAGAATTCGACCGATAGTCGAACCTCGGATTCAGGAAGAACAATGCGGTTTTCGTCCTGGCCGCGGAACACTGGACCAGCTCTATACCCTCTTCAGAGTGGCAGAGGGTTCATGGGAGTTTGCCCAACCAGTCCACATGTGCTTCGTGGATCTGGAGAAGGCATTCGAACGTGTCCCTCGCAGCGCCCTGTGGGGGGTCCTCCGGGAGTATGGGGTCCGGGGCCCTTTGCTAAGGGCTACCCGGTCCCTGTACGATCGGAGCAGGAGCTTGGTTCGCAT